TGGCCAATGCCGAGCACCAGAAGAGTTCTTCACAAAGGGCCCAAGTACAGGGCATCAAGGCAGGCAAGGCCTGGTGGGCTGGGCCAACTCTTACTACACCTCCAAGACAGTCACCTCCATTCCCGTCCCCCCGGAGACAGCCCAGCATCCCTCCGCGGAGGCTCCTGTTTCTCATCATAGTTTGTTTCCAGGTCCGCCTCCCCTGCTAGAATCACGATCTGCATCATGTTTGCCTGCCACATTTGCTGGCATACTGCCCTACATAATTCCTTCTATATAAATGTTTGCTGGCGAAATAAAAAAAACCAAGTATTTTGTAGAAGCTATGAACTTTAGACAAGTCTTTCTATTCTCTAGGTCTCAATAGACTTATTTATAAAGTGGGAGACAACATTTGTCCTGCAGACTTGTGATGATTTAAAGAGGTAACTTACTTAGGTGCCTGGCAGTGGGTCTGGCACATGGTAAGTGCTGAAGGAACGTTCGCTGAGGCGCGACTGAATAAGTGAGCGAATTGCTATATGATTTAACTGCTAATGAGAAAGTCAGGGAACTTCTTATAAAAGATTCTTGGAAATTGTTCAGAATATTTCATTAAAACTAAAACCAAAGCTGCCTGTCCTTCTGGCTGGGCCTGAGAACTGGCCCCCGTGGAGGTGCCCACAGTCTGTGCCAAACACAGGTGTGCTGGGAGGGGCTGGAGCTCAGGTCTGAAGCCCTGCATTGAGTTCAGGTTCTGCACGCTGAGTGTGAGCCCTGGGTGAAGATCTGATGCCCCAAGGGCAAAATATGTTTGGTCACTTTCTGATGTCAGCTTGTTTTCTCAGTTCACCAACGAGAATTTGTTATGCATCACTTTCTCATAGAAAGAGTACAAACGTATTCCTTCCCAAACCCATTTAGGGCGGTTTCCCGGTGGTCTGGAGTCTAGAGGAACACGACTGCCCTGTGCAGGTCCGCACTCCCACACACGCGGCCTCCTCGGATTCACTGCGGGAAAACCCGTTTCGCAGTCTGGATTGCTTTCCTGTGGCAGTGGCCTCCCCCGCAGCAGTTTACACGGGTTGGAAGCCCCAGGGAAATAAGGAGAATCTGTCTCCGCTGGAGCACACATTCTGAACATGATTCTCTTTCGATGAGGAGCACAGTGATGTGAAGTAAGTTTGCAGTATGCCTTTGAGATGTTTGCAAATGCCGCCGGTCCCTCCAGCTCAGGCGAGTGGTTAGGAAAGAGGTCTGCTCAAAGCTACAGGGTCTAGGGGTGTGTGTGGGGCGGGAGGGTTCAGAGTTAGGGCACCCAGGAGGGAGCAGCATAAAGCTGAGGAGGCTCCGGACTACTCCTGGACCAACTGGGGCAAACATGCTGCAAGACTGTCATCTAAAAAAGAGAGGTTTATGGAGGGACAGGGTGCATGTGAAGGAACCATGTCCAATTTTCAGCTGAGAGCTGTGGCGTCAGAAACACACACACACACACACACACACCCAGCGGCAGCAGGCAATGCCTTGCTTTGTGTGCAAATGAGGGCGGAATGGCATAAGTAATTCCCCAAAATAGGAAACCATCTGGGTGGTCTTCGTAACACAGTTTGCGTTTTTTCCTCCCTGTTCTGCGTTGTATTTTCCTCCCGTCCTCTCCTCTCTTCTCCTCTTACTCTCTTTCTTCCTCCGAACTTCTGGTGCCAGTTGGACCTTGTAGACTGTTTCTTGCCCCACTTAATTAGCCATGGAGTTTGCCATTGTTGGGCTCGTGGCAGATAAGGATGTGGAGTTGCGGTTAAAGAACCGGCCACCCGCAGCAGCATTGCACAGGGGCAACGGCTCGCTTCATGCGGCTTCTATTTTATTAGAATCCTAAATGAATGAAGCAGGACAGAAAAGGTGCAGAGTCCTGCCCGCGAGGAATGAGCTTCAGGCCCAGGAGCAATGGTTCCATTCAAAGTAACAAGTCGCAATCCTCTAATAAGAGTATCAGTGAGGCATAGAGCACAGTGGTAAGAACCTGGCTTTTAAACACAAACAAACCTGGGACTGAGTCTTCTTGTTACGACTTACAAGCTGTGCCACGTGGGCAGACTTCTTAACTTCTACTCTCCATTTCCTCGTCTATAAAATAAACATGCCCCAAGAGCACCGTTGAATGAGAGGACGCATGGGAAGTGCTGTGCCCGCCATATTATCCACATACCAAGCATGTGCCTGGCCGGATGAAGGAACCGAAGACGGGCAAGATGCAGACCTGCTCCCCCCGCCCAGTACACTTACATCCTAATAAGGGAATCTATGCAAATGTCTTACCTTAATACCCATGTCTTGCTTTCCTCGTCTATAACATGTGGGCAACAACAATACCCACTTCATAGGAGTAAACGATTTAATATACGTGAAGTATTTAGAACAGGACTGGCACGTTGTAGAACTCAAAAAGGTATTCTAAGACAATGGTTGAGAGGAGGATTAACATTTTGTGGAGTTAAAAATGATTTTACAGAGAAGGGGACGGTGCGATGAGCTTGAAGGACGAGCCCGGTGCTGGCAGGGCATTCCGGGTGGAAGAAATAATTAAGAAAGAAGGTTGAGGTGGGCCGATTCTCCTTTTTGGCTGCAGTATTGGACACACAGAGATAATAGTGGAAGTCTAGTAGGGCTTTTTGAAAATCCTAAAATGCAGAATGAAACTGTGTACTTAATTGTGCAGGTGATGTGGAGATCATGGCTGGGGCGAAGAATATGATCAGAGGTGTGGACTGCGAAAATTAGTGTGGCCGCGAAGTAAGGAAAATCAGAATTTCCATCAGTGATGGGAAGCTAGAGGCACATCATTTATTTACCAAACAAATATTTCTTTGGTACGTACAAGGCACCATCCTAGGCATTGGGTATACAGTGGCGAACAAGAAAGACAGTCTGTCTTCTTGGAGGGTACACCCTGCTGGGAGAGACAGGCAACCACACAGGCGTATCATTTAAAGCAAGGCGGGTTCCATGAAGGACACTCCAGGAGCTTTGGCAAGAGGGCTGTGTAAAAGCAGTCGGAGAAGGCGTTCCTGTCGAAGTGACATGCAAGCTGAGACCCGGAGGGTGAGGAGGCGTCCACCAAGTTGAAGGACAAAGGAGACATTGCTTTTTGGGCAAAGACATTGGTGCGGAGCGACAAGCTCATAGTTACCTTATAGAAAGGTATTTCTGGCATCAGTGTGGAAAATATATTGGAAAGAGGGCGAGAGCAGATCGGGATGGACCAACTGGGAAGCTAAAGCAAGCGTGACCTCCCCAGGTGATGTCCGAGTGCTCGTGCTGTGACACCATCACATGCGAAACACGGACGAATCTCACAAACGAGAGAAGCCAAGGACGAAGGAGAACAGACGGTACGATTCCACCGATGCGAAGTCCGAGAATACAACTGTACATAAGTGCACCAAGGTGGGATGATAGATTTCGGAACAGCAGCCACATAGAGGCGTGTATGGACCAGGAGGGGGACAAGCAAGGCGTCCGGCGGGCCGGACATTATTTTCATCTTTATCTCCACCTACCTTTAGTAGGTAGGCGATTCTGCCTTCTCATTCGCACCTGTTTTTTAGGTGTAATTTGTGTGCCATGAAAATGATATTTCGGGTATAAAATCCATAGAGTACAAAAATAAAATTGTTTTTTAAAGTCGAACATTTTGCGACTATGTATAGTTGTGGGTGTGAAGTATATATAACTCACGTTATTTAGGGAAGTCACGGAAACCCACAGCGCTTGCCTTTGTGCCTACACGTTTCCTTCACACTTGTATCGAACGGCGAATGACACGATCTTCACATGCTACTGAACACACGAAAAGTTTTTTTTTTTTAATTATTAAAATTAACTAACTCTTCTAGAGACCGGCAGAGCCTGCGGTTTCTCATCTGCCATTAGTCAGTGGCTACGGAAGCATGAAATGCTCATGTGCCCCAGGCGTTTGCATCTCTTCCTTCCCGCTCACGGAGACTGGCTTATGGCACTGAGTGTTATCATTGAGCAAAGTCATGTTCATTGCTTAGGCCGCAACGCGTTAAACAGACTCATTTCAACGAGACTCCGAAGGAAATTATAAAGAGAACAGAAATCTGTTGGGTTACCTACAGAAAAACTACAATTCTGGGATGGGAGGCATAGAATTTTAGTTTATTTTTATTTTATTTATTTTATATTTTATTATTATTATTATTATTTTGTTTATTTTTAGTATTGTATTTTCACAGGAAGCTTCGGAAAATATTTATTGTGAGGCCTCACTGGATTTAATGTTGTACTCTCGTTAGGAGTGTGACAAGGGGATCGCGCCAACATTTCCAGTTAAAACCTGCCCCACATGATAGAGTGAACGGAGCGTATTCCAGACAGCTATCTCTGAATGATAACGCTATCGACAATGATTATATTAGCCACCATTTTTATTACCGCTTTTTTTTATGTAGCTAGTATTGTGGTAAGCACGTTAAATGTTGTAGCTCACCTACTTCCCACAATTAATCTATGAAGCAGGTATTTTAGGTATCTTATTATACCCATTTTATGGATAAGAACAGTCAAGCTCAGACTAGGTGACTAACTATTCAGCTTTTCCCAGGAGGTGAGACTTTCGGTGCTTATCCCAGGAAAGTCCTGGGCAAACTAGGAGGAGTTAGTCATCTTATAAAAGAGATTCATTTGACTTTTAATTGGTAGAGAGGGATTTAAACATCTTCTTTCCTTGGCTGGTCCAGAGTAATAGTTAACCAGGAAAGATTGCCTACCAATGCTAGCCCAGAGTAATAGTTAACCAGGAAAGACATTCTTTGGCAGCATGGGGGGAAGGGATCTAGGTTGCAACTTGAGAATATTATTTCTCACGATGTAATTGAAAATGTCATCTAGCCTCTCTTCCTGCCCCCAAATCGCTAAGTGAAGAGCTTCCCTTTACACCATTGTTAAAGGGCTTGCATGTCGCTGAGATCTGACATTCAGAGCGAAACCTCACTCACCTTGGGAAGTGGGTAGAGATGACACAGAGGTTGGCCAGCATCCTGTTTACAAAACTCCAGGGTGTGACACACCACATCGGCATTCATATCAGCACTAAGCCTGGAGGGAAACGGGGCAAAACAAAGGCTATTAAGGTCTTTCAGGCATTCAGAAATAGAAGCTATTTCAAAGAAAGGTGAATCTCCAGAATGCATTCAAGAACCCTCAGCTCCTGGCAGCATGGCCTTGGAGCCCAGCCCTGCGTGGCCGCTGGGCCATGATGATTTCCTGTCACGTCGCTTTCTCCCACGTTTAGAATGAAGTCTTGGGGGCGGGGAGGGGGCACCAATAGCACTGAGTTGGGAGTCAGCTTCTCACAGGGGCCTGTAATTCTTTTTTATTTTTAATTCACATTTTATTTATTTGTTGGTTTATTTAATTTTTTCACAATTTCAGCTTAATTTTAATTTTTTTTGGGGGGGGAGTGACATTGGTTAACGAGATCCAGTAAGTTTCAGGTATACAGTTTAACAGTAAAACATATATATATATATACTGCATTGTGTGTTCACCTCCCACAGTTAGATTTCTTTCTGTCACCACATATTTGGCCCCTTTTTCCTTCTCAGGAGAAGCCACAGATAAGGGAAAGGAAAAGTGGACAGAGGTGTCATTTGATGGAAACATTGATTTAAAGTTTTCTGGACCTTATAACAAAACTTTATTTATGATATAGCTTTAAACTCCTAAAACTATTTTCTTAGGCATAATCCAAATCATCCCTTCCCCTTTAGAGAAATAGTTCTTTACCTTGTGGAAGAGACTACAAGAGTTTAATTTTCCCCTGGGGACGGTGTGAAGATTGTGTTCTTTACACACTTTGGCTTACGTCTAGGTTTGAAGGGGCTAAAACAAACCTTGCATATCCTTTTTTTCCTTCACGCTTCCAAAACTCTTTTTGACAAGAAGAATGAGTATAATGTGCTGTTTGAAATCAAGGAACAGTAAAGTATGGACTTTTAGTAGCTTCTCCAAGTAAATTATTCATTCAGATCTAAACCAAACCGTTCCAAAACGACAAAAGCAACGAAACCAGAAACATAGGTTGGTGATATCCAAAGACTAATCTTGGAAGCTCAGCTGTAGATTCTAGAAGGTGCTTTCTGAGGTTTCTTTCCAGCTCACGCACTCACTTAACTGTCCCCTTCACTCACGGGGGCAGGTTCCTGGCAGTTGTGTTTATATTCCATAACTCCCGGCCAGTTGATCGGACCTCATTAGACTGCCATTCAAGTAGGACCAATCAGATTCTCTCTAATGGAAATTTGGAATTGGTATTAAAAGTTCAACTGCATGTCTACGGCCATGCCACCCTGAACAAGCCCGATCCCGTCTGATCTCGGAAGCTAAGCAGGGTTGGGCCTGGTTAGTACTTGGATGGGAGACCACTTGGGAAGACCAGGTGCTGTAGGCGTAAAAAATAAAAAAATAAGGAATCGTAAGCTGACAAGGTCCTTGCTATCTGTGAGGTCAACCAAGGGTTGCCTCGCCTAAAAAAAAAAAAAAAAAAAGTTCAACTGCATTCTGGGCTGTTCCCAGAATAATAGGAGCTATAGCTCGAGACTGTAATGTTATTTCCTGATGAGTGGACTGAGCGTTTGGAAAGTTAGCCTGTAGGATGGGGTTCAGGAAACAGAACCCAGAATGTGCAGTGGGGGAGCCTGAAATTCAGGTTACAACTAAAGCATGAAGTTGTCGCTTTCAGGGCCTGCATCACCCCAGAACTGTATCTGCTTGAGTAAAACAAGTTGTTAAGAAGTACACACCATAAGAGGAGAAATTTCTATCAGCAAAGCATTAATATGGGGGATCGTTTATACATCTGCCTTCCTCAAAGCGGTCTATCCCATGCTAATGCGAATTAGTCATCTCTCAAAGAAAAAAACGTCCTCCCCTCCCCACCCCCCACTCAGGGGGTGGCCCTCTTTGTGTGGCTTGCTGGGCCCCCTGTTTCTGAACATCCCGTGTCCCCTTGTAGTTATCTGAGGTGGAGAGTGTCTCTCATCGAGCTCCCAGTCCCAGTGCAGCGCCTGCCCTCTCCCTGATGCGTGTGCTTACCGGGCCCTAGTGCTCAGCACTCTCCCTCCAGCTACAGAAGTGAGAGGCTTCCCAACTGAACCGGCCGCCTCCCCCTCACTCCCAGCTCGCCTGGCCGCCAGCCTCAGACAGCGCTTCTTGGGTGCCTGGGCGCACTGCCTCTGGCGTCCGGGCTGGCTGTTTCCGCTTATCTCTCCGGTTCTCTGGCCCCGTCCAGCAGACCTCTCCAGTCCAGCCGACCCTCCCCCCCGAGACCCTGGCTCATACTAGGTGTGTAAACAGATTCATCGAATAAGCTAACAGTCGTTTTTTCTGTTTTAATAAGTTTACATAATTTTCTTTAGAGTAGTCTACTCATTGCTCATCTGTAGTGAAAATTTTGTTTATTTAAAGAATTAGTTAATTCAACAAACATGTATTGAAGGCCTTCTATGTTCCAGTGTTGTACCAAGTGCTGGAGATACAAAGCCCTCCCCTTCTTTCCTTCCTTCCTTCCTTCCTTCCTTCCTTCCTTCCTTCCATCCATCCCTCCACATACTCAGTATCTTGCTAAGTACCTAGAGAAAGAAAGATGAATAAAATGTACTCCTAGCCCTTTCAATCTAGTTAGCAACTCAGAAAAATAAATGGAGAATTAAATTACAAATAGACGTGGTAAGTACTGTGCTGGGTGTGTGTGTGTGTGTGTGTGTGCGTGTGTGTGTGCGTGTGTGTGTGCGTGTGGGTGTGCGTGTGTGTGTGCGTGTGTGTGTGCGCGCGTGCGCGCGCGCTGCTGGCCGAGGTACCTATTTTAGCCTATGGAAGGTTAGGAAAGCTTCCAGAACAAATGACCCTGGAGCTGAGGTCCACAGAAATAAAGTCCAAAGAAATTACTTTTGCATTGAAAAGATAGTTGGCCAGCTAAAATGTGGACTTGCAGGGCACTGGGCCAGCCTGCAGGCCTGGAGCCCAGTTAGCAGGCTGTGGCAGTGACAGGGGTGTGAGCCAAGAAGACACGGACTCCATTCTGTAGGAAGGGGCAGGACATCAGCGCTCGAGAGAACCTCGTCCCCCTCGCTGCTCCCCAGATGTGCCCAGGGCACAAATCAGGTGTGGAGGAGGAACAGCCCCCTGTCCCCACACAGTAGCTCTCTGTTTGTATCGCTCGTTAAAGTCACCTGGGATGCTTTAACGAATCTCGATGCCTAGCCCTCACCTCACAGCAATTACATCAGCATTAGATGAAATAGATGTACGTTAATGTATATTCGATGACATTAGGAAACTACTACAATTTTGCGAGTATGAAAATGACATTGGAAAAAAAGACTGTTAGAGATAACAGATAAAGAAAATATGGCTAAATGTTAACAATTATTAAATCCCGGTGATGGATATATAGAAGTTCGTTATACTATGCTTTTTGCTTTGCCGTACATTTTAAATTTGCCCTAATAAAAGTCTAAAAATTAAAAAAAAATAAAGAGAGGAGAAAGGATCTCTACCATTCAAACACTCCCAAGCCGGGGCCCACAAGAGATCAGGTCATGTGCGCGCAGGGCAGGGCGCTGATTGTCTTCCTGGCTTGCCTGGCTTCGTGTTTCTTTTGTCTTTAAAATTCTGCAACTCTGCGCCACCCTATCGTGGGGGGCAGGAAGGCGGTGGTGCTGTCCTCTGGGCCTCTCTGCCCTGAGGCTAATGGCAGAGACAGGGGGCCCCACGTAAGAATGTTCATAGACCCTCGCAAAAGAGAAAACCAGGAAACAACCCAAACAGCCATTCGTGGGGAGGGGGAGGGTGAAGGAGCAGACGTCGCCCGATGGAATGCTCCACACAGTCAGAGCGAATGAACTATGGCCATGACACAGCCCTGTGGGCAGATCTGAGACTCGCACGTCTAAGTGGTGGGCCCGGAAAGTTCTATGCAGTGTGATGCTCTGTTCGTAAAGAAATTACTAAAATAAAAACGATACGTTTCAAAGGACTACATATAATAAATATGATTAATTATAATTACTTTATATAATCACATTATCATATGATTTTAATACAATTATGTTTGATTATATTAATATAATATACACATATAATAAAACTATAGAAAAACAAAAGCAAGAGAAAAGGATTTATTACTTGGGTGGAAAGGAGAACATGAGAACGAGAGAGAGGGACCACCTGGTTAGGGTAAGTTATTGTCAGCATCCCAGGCTTTATTTTGGGTGGTGAGTTTGGAAGCTAATTACTTTATTCAAAGTAACTACGTAACGAACTAAATAATAAATATTAGAAATCCAGGATTGGATCCTTGATGAGAAAGTTTTGTGAACAGGAATATGATTTATCTTATCCAGTGCCCCTAAGTTTAAAAAAGAAAAGCGAAAGACAGGAAGCAGACAGGAAGCAGACAGGAAGCAGACAGGAAGCAGACAGGAAGCAGACAGATGAATGATGGCCGCGTGAGGGACCCTGACGGACAAGAGTGGGGGCTGGGCGGTGGAGAGGGCCAGGAAAGCCCAGGTCAGAGGCGAGTCGGGAAGACCCGGAGAAGATGCTGCCTGAGGACCTGCGAGGGGGAGAAGGGACAGGCTGGGGCCTGCTGGCGAGCTCAGGAGAAAGGGGCAGACGCCCGTCCAGCCAACAGGCTCCAGTCTTGTTGGTCATGGTGAAATTCCTTCTGAAAGGCTTTCAGAGAGAAATGGAGCCAGGTCCCCACCCTGTAATTCGAGGGGAGCCTTTGCCTCCAGTGGCAGAGGACCTGGGTCGATGTGAGTTGAATTTTCCACTGTTAACAAGAACTGGAATACAGCTCCGGCCCTGTGCACACATCCCGCTGGGACCAGAGCCAGCTGCCTCCGCTTTGCCTGTCTCCCCCCACGCCCCAGCGAACGAATCGGATTAACGTGCCGCATACTCACAGTTTTATGATATCTGGTCCAAACATGCTAACCACTAAGTAGCAGGTGCTCTTCAAGAACAGTTGTTCTAAGAAAAAGAAAGGGGGAAATGGAATATTTTTTATTGCAGAGAATTTAACACATGAGCTAATAACGACCCTCTTTACTAGGAACTGAGGCCGAGTGATTAATTTATAATTAATGCAAATCATTAATTTTAAGAGTTTGGGGGAAATGTTACAGTTAATGTAACCATTAAAATATCATTTCCATCTCGGGTTTATGTGAATGTCACTTTGTTTACCGTACATGCTAAAGATCACTAGTTTAAAAATACAGTTGAATTCTGGAGTTTAATTTTTATTTTTCACAGAAGTGATACCTACAAGTTGCTAATCTTATTTGTTGAAGGCGAAAGAAACGAGACTCGCTTTAAAGTAAATAATCTGAAACATCGCTTTGTTAAAAATATTCATTTGGGGGGAAAAAAAAAAAGATTTCACTTTACCCATTTAGTTTTTGCTGTTAATATTCCAGAGATGAAAGGAGACTAAATGTCACGGTGTCCCTACACTGCCACCTACCCCAGGGAACACACACACACACACACACACACGCACGCACACGCACACCCATTAACAGCACACTCTCCTTTCTCCCGCCCCCTCCCTCCTCGTGGGAGTGCAGAGATGCTTCGTGGATTGATCTGTTTGGACAGTGAAATCTCTGATCCTGTTTCTGCAGTTTGTGGGTGTCCTGTGGAACCCCGGCAATTCCACACAGGACCTTAGCATGATTAGGGACAGACTGGGCTGTCCTGGGAAGGAACTGCAAACGCTCCCTGAGGAGAATTGACCTTGTTACACTTATCTCAAACTGGGCTGCCCTTGCTTGCAGGGTAAGATAATGAAACAACAGGATAAATATAGGAAACTCTGGTTCTTCAGTTTTACTCAATGGTAAATAATGTAAATATTACTTTTATATTAAAATAGATATATTCATAGGATTTTTTTTTTTTTACAATAAGGCATAAGACTTCAAATACATTGTGCTTTTGAAGTAGGAACTTAAAACTATATTCCTCACATTACTTTTGACCTTACAGAAATTAAAAAAAGAAAAAACTATGAGGGGACACTAAGAACATCTGCATAGCAACAAATTATATAACTTACATGACATGAACGATTCCTAGAAAGACAAAGTACCAAAACTGACCCAAGAATAAATAGACACTCTGAATAGACATATAACAAAAGATTGAATTAGTAATGAAAAACTTCCCACAAAGAAAAGCTCAGGACCAGATGTCTTCACTGGTGAAATGTACCAAACATTTAAAGAAAGTATCTGAATAGATATTCTCCAAAGAAGATAAGCACACAGCTTATTAAACATCATCGGCTATTAAGAAAATGCAAATCGAAATCACAATGAGATACCACTTCACACTCGCTATGATATGCTGTAATAAAAAGGACAGACCATAACAAATATTGATGAGGATGTGGAGAAATTAGAATTTTCCTACACTGCTGGTGGGAATGTAAAATGGTACAGCTACTTTGATAAAGAGTCTGACGGTTCCGCAGATGGTTAAACACAGAGTGACCGTGTGACCCAGCAATTCCGCTTCTAGGTATACATTCAAAACAAAAAACATATATCCACATAGAAACCTGTACACGAATGGCCATGGTAGCGTTATTTAAAATAGCCGAGAAGTGGAAACAAGTCAACCCAAATATCCATTAACGAATGAATGAATGAACAAAATGGACTCTGATCCTCCAATGGAATATTATTCAGTATAAAGAGCAATGAAGTCCTGGTGCATGCTACATGGATGAACAGTGACAGCATTATGCTAAGCGAACGAAAGTTACGAAAGACCACAGATTATCTGATTCCATTCATATGAGATGCCCAGAACAAGCAAATTCATGGAGACAGAAAGTAGATTACCGGTTGCTTACGGCTGAAAGGATGAATGTTTTGTTTTTTGACGGGGGTAAAAGACAAGAAGTGTGGGGTTCCTTTTTGGTATAATGAAAATATTCTAAACTTGATTGTAGCCCGTGTTACTCATAGTACGCGTTTCAACGAACGTACTCAGGACACTTTATTCAATGTCTCACCTACCTGGGGTGTGTCAGGTATTGTTATACATTAACTACAGATGAGAAATTTGGAGCAGAGTCAGATGAAGTGATCACAGAGCTAGCTCTGAGGTGATATATTCTAAGCAGCAAGTAGATTTTCAGAACCTACGGAAAGAACGTGAGGAGAGTTGCTTTCGTGTGTGAAGTCTGCATGAGTGTTTACCGTAGTCCATGGAGATAAGATTTTTGCATAGGTGACCCGAGAAAGTGAAGTTTTAGCAAGGCTCTCAGGGTGTATGAGTCTGTGGACCCCCAGTGAGAATGATTCCATTAATCATTTTCTCATTAACCATTCTGAGATTCTTCCAAGGTATTTCCTAATGATAGCCAGAGGCAAAAGCAGTGGGTGAAACTGAAGGTCAGAAATGCTTTGCAAGGTTCAAAAAAATTGTCTTCCCCCGCATGGGAAAGGCCAATGTGATTTACTGAATGATTATTCTCAAGAATGCTGTGCACATGCTTTCTCTGCTAAGGTTACATTTTCTGTACCTTTTTAGCTCTGGAGATGAAAGCAATACTACTTGAAAATAATCTTTAAAATAAGCGTTTATCAATGTGCATGATTTCACTTCCTGTCACCCATCCTCCTGGCTCACCAGACGGAAGGCCATACAGGGTGCAGGTAGGCAGTCTGGTCCAGGCTTATTATATTTTCTAGGAGAAGTCCTTTAATAGGAGACAGACTATCTTTGTCACCGCATACAATTCATGTAGCCACCCTGTGCACTGTTTCCCACATCCGGCCTTTATGTCCATTAAGTGAAGGAGCCGTTCACCTGAACTAAGTATCTTATTTCTATCCAGAAGTAAAACATTAGTTAATAAATGCAAATAACTCCAAACAGACTTCTCAGTCGTTTGAAATTCCTCCAAATTTGAAAGGTAACCTACCAATGAAAACCGAAATTCCTACTTCGCTTCCAGTGATGAAGGGCCAACTTCTTTCTATTTTACCAGAATCTGACTTTCAGCTTCTCGCTGTATCTCGGCAGATTCTAAAATTTTCTGTTATGAATCAGAAGGAGCCAAGATGGCACTTTGAATATCAGCGATCTTGGTCTGCGTTGTTTTATGTTTTGCTAGGACATTAGGATGGGGTAACCTAGGAAACAAGATTTTTACTCAGTCTCTCATCTTTGGACAATACAACTGTGCCTAAAAAGAGAAAATCAAACTCATGGTATAAATGATGATATCTGTCAGTGTTGGTCTGTCCCACAGAAATGACAACCAATCAAAACAAATCTTGACTGTTCTTCATTTTTTCAATTTGTAAAATAGTAATAATATTTTTTCTCCATTAATTCAGAGATGTGAAAATATAAAGTAAGGTTTATAACGGCTTGTGAATATCCAATAATGGGAAGGATACATAAAACACGGGATATTTATTGATGAATTATGGAGTAATTGAGAGGTTTGACTGAGGTCTATATGTCTTAATGTGTATAGATCTCAAAAAACATTGTGTTGAGTGAAAAACAGAAGTTGTAGAACAATGAACACAGTAGACATAGATGTAAAATTAAAACGCCCACAAGGGAGGATTCTGGAAAGATGATGGTAGAGGCAGCAGAGTTTTGGAATATTTTTGAATCTCTGCCTAATATACATATGCTTGGTGGGTTACCAGCATTTGTGTGGAAGAAGTAGAGGGAGCAATGGGATGTCAGATAAATCTAGGAACAGGAGAAGCCCCAAATAACCCACAGGTGTTGACTAGAAAGCCTGGTGGGCTAACTGAAGAGCCGCGGCTGGGACTGGGAGGGGTCCGGCCAACTGCATTAGCAGGTGAGTGCAAAGGGCGCCAGGTTAGAAGGACTAAGGAGCCAGGGTAATCTGGCACCTACACATTCTGGATACGGACCCACCAGAGCTCCTCAGGACTGGGCCCACGGTGAGGAGAAACTGATGGGTTTAGAGTTGAAGTTGAACTGGATAAGAAGCAACGCAAAGAGAAAGAACAAACAAAAGTGTGCAAGGGAATGGAGTCGGAAAATCTCAGAAAGCAAGCTGCCATTTTTTTTTTTTTAACACTATACAAAACGATGGAGGCAGGAGCTCTGTGCATTTGGAAACGCTACCTTGAACTATTTCTTCTTCCAAGAGTTCTGAAAAACTAATTTCATATAAAAATGAGCAACAGAAATGTATCTAGGTCAACTCCCATATGAAGTTATTATAAGAAAAAAAATAAAGAACAGAATCACATCCCTGTAGATAGCAAAGGCATGCCAGAAAGTCTTGCCAAAAAAAGAATTAAAAATCTAATGTTGTATTTCAAAATGAGCTAAGAAGCATTAATAAAATGATATAAGACATGAAATCCAGAATTAGAAAAACTCATTATGGTAACAACAACAAAAAAAAAACTCAGAGAAGAATACAAGATTATAAAAGAAATGAATTCTAAAGGAGAATGAACACAAGAAGTGAATATAATTCCTGATGTTTTAAGAGAAATAGAAGGTGAAAAGGAGGAAAATTTTTAAAATAAAAATTAAGTGAAAAGATAAAAAGTAGTCAAGAGATAGGTAAAATATCAAAGATAGGCAAAGAAGATTTAAAATACGAATAATAGAAATCCCCAAAGAAGACATCCAAATTAAGGAAATTGAACAAATATTAGAAATTTTCCTGAAAGTATAAGAAATGTATTTGAAACCGCCTATTGAGTGAGCAACCTGCATGCCTTCGGAAGTCAAAGTACAACAGCTAACACCCAGACATATTCTAGTTAGATGACTAAATTTTATAGAAGAAGAAATTCCTTTTAACTTCTAGCAAAAATGACAATTTCTTCGTAGGAAAAATAAAGTTAGATTGTCACTAGGCTTTTTAATAACGTATTTGAGATACTCAGGGAAAGAAATGTGTGCCAAGGATTTTTATATCCGGAAAAACATTGACTTTCAAGTGTAAAGGGCATAGACGGCCTGTTAATCAACATGCAAGAAATTCGGGGACTATCTCTCATGAGCCGCTCCTGAGAAATGAGCTCTAGACAACAGCTCAACTAGACAGACGTCCTCGTGAGGGCTGATGGTGGACATTAATCACAGAGTGGCTGATGGGACTAAGGCGAAATGAGGGCGAGAAGGGAGCGGGTATTGTAAGTAACGGCTGTGTGCTCAGGGAATACGGTACGATGATTCAAAAAGGGAAATGGGAAGAGCTCAGGCGAACAACAATTTCAACTGCTCACGATGATTATAAAATATATTACTGGTAGTAGTAGTGGAATCGATATTCTGAGACAGTTCTATGTGTAATGAGGGGTAGGTAAATGAGTAATTAGGAACTATTTTAATTCTATCAGTCCTTTTGCTCTTGAGAATTAGGACTTAGAGCGTGGAGAGAAGCAGATATAGCTATGTGGAGAAGAGATTAAGAAAAAAATCTTGTAGTCCTGAATTTGAATTTGTAGTGTCAATGTGGACTCATTAGGTTATCTTAAAATTATATATGTAAGTGTATACACGTGTATTTTCTATCGCTGTCTATCGGAGAGGCCTGGAGAGAATGACCAACTCGGTAGCCTTGAGCATTCCCATGCACCCAGCCTGTGGTCTTAAAATAATATTTCCCACTAAAGAAAACAGAGCTTCAAAGAGAAATGGCTGATTTCAAGCCTGGGGCTGGAAATGCATAAGACAGGGCTGGCACACCTGTCACGCCAGTTAGTGAGGAAGCCATCAGAGGTGACTTAGGCTCATGTCAGAGGCTCAGGCGCCAAGTTCAAGAGGTTTCCACTGGTCAAAACTGGGACAATTTGAGCTTCAAAAGAATAGTGGAAATAGACCGAAAATCATCAAATATGAGTAAATTCATGAGTTGATAATGATACTTTAAAGAAAACTAGTTGAATCTTCCAGAATGATAATAGAAAGGCAGTGAATTACTGGAAAACTGGCAAATAAAGCAAAAGAATCAACCATGTATTCTGCCTTTTCTAGTATGAACAGCACCATTAGGAACTGTGGGGAAAATGTCTTTAAAATACGATAATGATGAGGGAAATTGTCTCTAATATATTTTAATTACTAAATGAAATATAAATGATGGATTCAAGTAGCACCATTTTGCAACTTCCCTATTAAATAACAGATCTGGTCACTGAGCATCAACAGCTGCTCACATCGCAAAAAAGGAAAAAGAGAAAACACTTAGGATGGCCTTCCGATGAAAGAAAACACCACCGCTTATAGTCTTCCAAAGAAATCACACTGGAGCTTATCGAGCCTCTGGGTCCAGATGCCAATTTTCAAGAAATACAGGGCCCAGAGAAACATATTCGATTATACCACAGGGAGGCAGTCAGCGAAATCCAGACTATGGGAACTCCACGGGGCAAATTCCCCAGCTAACTTACAAGGAAAAGGAAAGGATGGAAAGGAAATGTGCAGATTAAAATAGACTTAAAAGACACGTCAGAAGTTTTAAAACTGGGCAGTGCTATGGTGTCTGGGAATATCTGTGTGGGTGACAACACTATAAAGCAGAGCAAGGCAATGATTGATTGCAGTAGAATTCAGGGCGTTGTTCTTCTAGGAGGAAGGAGGGATTCGTGATAGGAGGGCAGATGTGGACGGGCCTTCTGGACTGACTACCTTCTTCACCTGGACTATGTTTGCAAGGGTGTTAAAACTACACATTTATTTTGTGTGATTTCCTACGTTTCTTTTCCCCAAAAAAGGTTAAAAAAAGCACCGACGCAACAATACTATACATTGGTGATGGGTTCAAAACAAGCGAATACCCACAAGGGAATGCGAAGGTTTAAGATTTGACAAAAAGAATACTCCGTAGGTCCCCATGAGTGGTCCTTTCTGGGGAGGAAGGAGGGGAGTGGAACCGGGGGCTGGAGGGACCATAGGGCGTTGCAAGTTTATCGGCCACGTCCTAATTCCGCAAAAGCAAGACTTGATGCACATATGGACACATATGAGCAGTGGTCAGTATGGGAAACTGTAAACATATGTGTTTGTGTATTGTCCTCTCCCAGTCGTTCTTTTTGAATTTTATTTATTTATTTATTTATTATCATTATTTTTTATTTTTTAGGCGAGGCAACCCCTGTTTGACCTCACAGATTGCAAGGACCTCGTCAGTTTACAATCCCTTATTTTTTTTATTTTTTACACCTACAGCACCTGGTCTTCCTAGCTGGTCTCCCATCCAAGTACTAACCAGGCCTGAACCTGCTTAGCTTCCGAGATCAGACGGGATCGGGCTTGTTCAGGGTACATGGCTGTAGGCTCTTTGAATTTTAAAAAATTTAGCTTGTGAATGCATATGTGAATGCATGCAATAAATACTCTGAAAATGCTTTGGTGCCACTGGCACAGAGTGCTATATAAAATCAAAGATTCATTAGTCCAATTAACCTACTTAAAACAAATACTACAGGCATCTATGATGAGTTTGTTCCATTACATTAAGTGAATGAAAATTTGACTCTCAAAGTTTATTCGTTGTGATTGTTCACCTAACAGTAATTATAAGGGAAGAAAGAATATTTTCTTTCTGTTGAGATTGACAAAGAAATATATGACTTGTTTAAACCACTAACCTTCTCCTTCTTCTGCAGGACAGGAAAGGGGTTTTATTGAGAACTGGCTCAAATCAATGGAATGTTTCAGATTATTTTCCCATTTGGGGTTTGAGATCAGTTGTCTTCTCAGGCCAAAGCTCTGTGTTGGTACGCCTGTGCGTGTGTCTGGGTACGTGTATGTGGTCACATCAACACAAATCATCAATCCTTGTTCATTATTTTGACCACGATGACCATGATTGACCACCATTATTCTGCCATGATGGAAAATGAATGTCAGAGGAAAAAAAAAAAAACAGCCTAGAATGGTTTTCTTGTGTGTGTGTTTTAATTTTTAGGAGCCCCATAAGGTATCGATTTATAGAAATAACACAATCGGAGTCCCCTCCGTAAGCATGTGTAGGAAATAAACTCGTTCGTGACAGCTGATGAGTGATGGATAACAGGTGACTGGGAAAGGAAAGGGGACCCAGAGCTGCACGGCCTTCCCCGTATTTACCAGGCAGGTAGCTGCACAGTCTCTCCATCGACGCCTGGGCTGTAGAGTTGTGAACTTGAGCAAGCTGTTCGATCACAGATACCACTACCACACACCCTGCAAGAGAGTGGAAGAGCATGTCAGCAGGGTGCACAGAAAACTCTGCTGGAGAGTCAGGGGGAAGACAGGGGACATGTGTATGTGTCTTTAAGAACACCAACCTTTCCAAAAACATAACTTTTGTTTGCCATTGGCCTTTTGAAATCCATCGCGGGCCTGAATGCATAATGAGTTGCAGTGAAACGTGAAATGCTGTAAGAAGATCGTGGGTTTGGGCGATCAGCTCAGTTTTGCCACGTGTAAGCTACGTGACTTAGGGGAAGGAAATGAACCTTGCTTTATTTCTGCTTCTTTTTGGTTGCGTGGGAGAAAGAGATGTGTTTTAGAGGAGGTAGCGCAAGGAGAACAGCCCGTGCGGAGCAGAAGCTCCACAGACACGGGCTTCCTCTCTCCCCTTCCCTTCCCTTCTACAGGCGCTGGCTTCATCACGGTCACTCCCGTCCCACGCATTCTCTGCCTGTGGCCTTGGGTCAGATTTTTAATTTTAGAAAAGCAGTGGACATTGCCCAGCCTCTGCAGTCAGACCTGGGGTCGGGTCCCGCCCTTGCATCTTAGACTTTCTAAGCTTTGGTGTCCTCACTGCAAAATAGGAGATAATATGCTTCCCATAAGGCTGCCGTGATGAGTAAATGAGGTTACAGCGCAAGTGAATGAGCCTTTGAAATCATAACGTGATCGTAAAACATTGTTTTACCTCTCAGCTACAGAGCACACTGCTTGAAAGCAGGTACCACAGTAATGAGTGTCTAGGAGGAACCTTGGATTCAGTGAGAAATGCATCCTTCAGCCACCTTGATATATAAGTGTAAAGGCCCAGAATTCCTAGGCCGACACTCCTGGAAGTTTCTATGGCCAGCCTTGATCTCCTGATCTACTAGGGAGGCTCAAACCTTCTTCCGAAGGGAGGGGACTCTTTCTTTTACACACAAGGGGTTGGTTGATCAAAGATCAGTGAGTCTGTGAGAGGAGCTCGTTAGGCCTCGTTGAGATAAGAGAAACCGCACTTATTAGCGGAGGTTGGTGCCCATAAAGGCAAAAAAAGCGCTTACATCTGACATGAAGTTCCGGGGTAGCTGGCTCAACAGTAAGCTCACTATTATCCATCTGCTCGAGGAGCTGGGGACCCACATTCCCATGCAAGTTCTCATTAAAACTCAGCTTCCAGCAGGACTCCTTGAGGCAGCGGGGAGATAACAGATGTGAATAGCACAACTGGGCATTGCCAGGCAGAAAGAAATACAACCTGTGAAACGAGGGCTTGTCAGCAAAGAATGAAGGGCGTCCACCTTCCTAGACACTGCCACGTCTGATGAGGCTTCCGCCTCCATCGTTCTTCACCTTCAGGTGACGAGAACCAGAAATAAGCAAAGCTGGGCTCCTGCAGTTTGAGAAAGTGCCATCTTGATAACCACAGCCTTAGGGCTCTGAGAGCACCTACTTGCTGAGGCATTGATCAGCATCAACGATCAAGGTCACTGAGTGTTCTATTACTTTGCCGTGAATTTAGTAAGTCAATGCTTATTAGCACTTTATGATCTAAAAAGCATTTTCTTATATACTTTATCTTATTTTAAAAATAACTTCAAAAATGTAGATGCAATACAATCTCATTTTAAAAAATTGGAAAAATATAGAACAGTGTAAAAAAGATAAACATCAGTCCATCAGCCAGAGATAAACCAATATCACTTTTATGTTCAATATATAAAATATATTTAATACATGTGAATGTTTTCAACATTTATAATATACGTTTACACCCTGATTTATGTCTCTGATCATCAGCTGCTGAGTGGAGTGAAAAAACAATGATAAGTAATTATATTGTGGTTTGATGAGAGGCTACGGCATGGCATAGTTGGAAAGGGGGAGGCTTTGAAGCGGAAAAAAGAAAAACCCCTCAGGTCCAATATAATTTCACTGACAAACTCTTCCAGCATTTCATTTTAACCGCTGAGAGACCGAACATCCCTTGAGGGCGGGAATGGAGTCTCGCTCTCTCTAACTGTGGGGGCCTGGCACGTGGCCTGGTTTGGAGTCAGGAGACGAGAGGTGTTTGCCGACTTGAGGTGAGCTGACTGGGGAGCCACCTGTGTGGCATTTCAGTGGTCAGCTGCTGGGGGTCTCCACGGGGGAGCGTTAATGGGCGCACCTGCTGCTGCCTTCCGGCTCAGTCCTGTCACCGCTCGCTGCTGCCTTCCCGCTCAGTCCTGTCACCGACAGCGTTGCTTATTCTTTGCCCCAGTCTCATTATCAGATGTGGCTCCCTTTCTCATCCTGGTGTCAAGCAACCAGTGTCCTCTCTTGAGTCCAACTACAGATTCTATAGCAAATGGTCCCGATATGCAGCTCAGGATCAGAGAAGGTGCAGTGGGAGTGGGTGGAGGCCTTGCCAAGCAGTCACTTCCTACGGTGTCTTATCAATGAGCGGTGGCACTGGACACCCAGAGCGGACGTGAAGCTCGGTGGGTGTGGGGATTTGCAAATAAAAGTTGGAGACTGGCACAGACAGCAAGTGACCAGATCCCACTGTGAATCATGCCTGCGACGCTGCCTGTGGCTCTTAGGATTTTACATGCCTTCTTAAAAACTCTGGAAAAATATGATTACTCCAGACCTGGCCTAACGCAGTTTTCAGTTATCAGAACATTTTCAATATGTGCCTTCAAAGAAAAGAGCAAATGACAAATAGCCTGGGTGATTTAAGTGACCGAGGTGAAATAGGAATGTTCAGTATGCACCCAGAGTAGTTCTGGACACGTCGTGAGATAAATATTTTTCAAATGAATAAGGTCAGGGAGCATCTTGGGGTGAATACAGATAGAGTTGGTGTCATTTTCTCGTTCACGTAAATTGACGAAGGAACACACAAGGATAATTGAGGACTGTTGTGATGTCTCAGTTTCCCCTAAGTGACCCATCTTTGAGACAACAAATATTTGGAGGAACCAGAAAAAAGCAAATGTTACTCTGCTCAGAAGAGGCTTCAACTCTGTCGGGAGCCCAGTTTCTTCCCCCTGTCCCCCAATGAAAGGCTGAGTTTTCCACCGTGTGCTACTTTTGACCCTCCCTTCCTTCGCCCGAAGATCCGCAAACTCCAGTGAGGATCTTTTTTCCTCCTTTTCCTCCCAATCAGAATCCGTGGTCTCCTCCTCTCCTTCGGCCCCAGTGTTTCATACTCGTTACCTGGGACAGGTATTAAATGCTATTCCGACTTCCTCCCCTGCAGACATCAGCCCCCTTGAGGGGAAAGTCAGCGACGTATTCGTTCACTCCAGGGCTTAGCATCACGCTTGATACATGAGCTCAGCACACAGTCATGGAGTATATGAGTGAGACATAACAGTCCTGGGGAAGACCCTCTACCTCTGTGGATAATGGGGCCGCTTCTTTAAGGAGACATGCATGAGAAAAAAAACTACAGAAGTCTAGATGTATTGCTAGGAAAATTCCGCCTGTTGCTGTCTTTTCCTTCCCACGGTGGTAAAAGCCACGTCTGTTGCCCAGACACCGGAGGACTCTTCCAGGGCTGGCTTTAACAAAAGACACTTGCATTTGGCCGAGGAATCCTGTCCTTGGCAAGGAACCATGCCAGGCTTTAATGGACCCTAGGTGAAGGGGATATAGGCCCCTCCCACAGGGAGCTCACAATATACTTCCCACAGTGACATAAACTGGATGGTAAACACCAAATGCCAGTCAACTGTTAAGGGAGATGTGACTCTAAAGAGACTCTAAGTGGGAGAAAATGCATTTCCAGGAGAGAAACAGGACTGGTGGCCTCAAAGAGCATGAGAGCTTTCTCCGTATTTTTCACAAGTTAAGTAGCAGCACATTTGCTTTCTCATTGGTACCTAAGATAACAATTTCGTACAATCGTTGGCATAATAGACTCGATGTAAGAATTGGAAATTCACGGTTGGTCTAGTGTAACAGGAGTACTGGATGAACGCGGAGTATAAAAGAAGTCTTTTCGGAATTTTCCTTGAGGAGGTTCCATTCTGGGGGCCCCCCGATGACCTCAGACCTTGCACACCATTTCCCCTCCCTGAAAACTCAACTCCAGTACATGTATGTTTCCACCCAACGCTTGTGATGCTCGGGACCAATCTGCACTTTGTGCTGATAAGATTTAGGCTTTTTTTTTTTTTTTTTTTTTTTTTTTACACTCAGAGGAATTTCATCAAGGGTTCTTGTGACTTTCCTGGCTCCCTTCCACTGCTGGCTAACGTTAGAAATCATTAGATAAATAAAAAGCCCAAAAGAAAAATGTCAGCTGTCTCTGAAGATCGGGTGCATCTCGGCACCATCATCACTCTTCCTAGTGAAGACTTATCATAATCAAAAAGACTCTGCAGAAAAGCAGGTAATGGGGTTTGAAATATGTAAGCGCCCAGGTTGGGCTCAGCTTCGATTCGAGTCCTGCTCCCTTGCACATCTCCGTCCATTTCCACGGGGCTCAACTCCTCTGCCAGGTGGATCATCGATTTAGTCTACAGCGAGGCCAGAGTGGGGGAATCGACTTTGCTATAATCTCTAATAAGAGGTTTCACTGTCTTTGAGAAGCTAAAGAATATTTTCCCTTCGAGAGATGCACGGACACAGTAATTTCTCCCATTATAGACCGTTCTCTGGCTGCTTATGAAAGGTCTGACTCTGCTAATGCGGGTTTGTTCAAGCTACTGTTCCTTTAGGACGTGATGGCAGCGGGTGAGAGCTATGCATTTGGCTCAGTGGTCACCATCTGAAATCTCGCATATGGAAAATCTTTTCTCACCTGACATCTGAAAATGATGAGTCTAATAGAAACAGACACTGCTGATATTGTAGAAAAAGAAGCGGATGGGCCCAAATAAAAACACCCGTCACGAAGATCTGCTTCTGGACACAGACCTCAGGCAGACCGCAGGCTGTGTCGCGGGATACTTTTGAAATGAAACTCTTGAAACTCTTATTTTGAAATGCACTCTTGAAACTCTTAATTGTAATCATATCTG